ATTAAGTGCCTGTTTAACTTGGCTCTCATAAGCACTTCTGTTGATTTCAGGGGGTTCATGCACATGAATTAAATTAAGCAGATGCTAAAAGGTTTGCAGGAGCTTGAGTCTTTCTGAGTAGTTTATATCTTTGGTAGTACTGGCTGCCCAGATGTATTTACAGCGTGCTCTCATCTTCTAATAAACTTGTGAAAACACAAAAAATTCATACTTGCAATTATGCATTTGAAAGTATGAATGTTTCTCTATTAAGCCTCTGAAAAGATTCCAATAAAGAACATTATTTCAAATAAGAAATGGAGGGGTCACATAAAGCTTAATCCGTAAGAATTTCAATGTGGATAGAAAAAGAGATATATCTGGTAAGAATGGTCCATGAAAGAAGGCATCGTGGGGAGAGCATGGAAGAGATTTTTTTTTTTTCCTGTAAGCCTATGTTTATCAAAAAGAGTAGGATCTTAGTGAACAGAAAAGAAAAAAGCAAAGATATGATATAGAAAAAAACACTATGGAAAACGATTGATCTAGAATTCCTCCCTTTTTCCTTTCTGTCCCTTCTGAGGTCTCATGGTGAGGAAAAGAGGGGATTAAAATCAGCCCTTTTAAATTCAAAAAATGGTTAGGAGATGATGAAAAGCACATTGTGTCTCTTAAAGAGAAAGTTTCCTCTATGATCCAGTGTTGCTGCTAAGGATTTTCAGAAGAGAACAGGAGAAAAGGAGAAAAAAAAGGAGATAATTCTGATATTAGTTTGGCATCGATAGTAGTATCTGTGGAATTTTCCATTTCTTGTCTCGGTCTGTCTTTCATTGAAGACTAAGTGCAATCCTGAAGATGGGTCTATTTTGCATTTCTGTTTTTGGGACAGAAACTGCTACAACTCTTTTGATTGGAGAAGAGTTTGGTGTTATAGCTACCATAACAGTGAGAGCCCACCTAGACAGAAAGAAAGTAATGAAAGCAGTGGAATGCCATGGGAGCTCAGCAGTGGAGTAATTTCTAAAGCTGAAGTTCTCCTAGCCTGCACAAGTTGACCAGAATTACAGTTACTATTTCCACTGACAGCTTATTCCCAATGCACTATCATATGACTTTAGGAATCCTAAGGAATTGATCCTTCATGCCTTGGCCAATGTGCAGAAATACTGTGGGTAACTGTGGGCTTATGGATGGGGTCAAAGGCTCTAGTGAAGAGGGAGGTAATAGAGCGCTGCTTTTGTGGCATGGCATATAGTTTCAAAATAAAATTGAATTCCTTAGAAAAGGAGGAGTGCGAGTATAGTCACTTGAATTCTATTCAAGGAACCTGGCAGGAAACTAGAGATGCTTCATTCTTGCTTCTGCTTTTCTACCTGTTCCTGAAAGGGGGAGAAACTGCTGTGAGCTGCCGCATTGCTGTAAAGTGGCAGAAGGAGCTAAGATCAGAGCAATCAGTAGAAATGTAGTCGGAAAAATACAAAGTGCAGGAAGATCTGTTGCTAAGAGTTGTCTGCAGCCCTCAAATACTTTGCAAAAAAATGAGATCTGTACTAGAGAGCCATGGCTTTATTTTGGACCAATACATGTATGTATTTTTACTTGCATTTGCCTAAGAACACCAAAAAACCGAAATTCCAGCCCTGGAACTTCATTAAAGTCTTCCTTCTTTAGGAGTTGCAGGGTATGACAGCCTTAGTGTTAGTATTGATAGCAACCACTTTCTGAGGGATCTGGGAAGGCAATGAAGAAAGCATGCTCAGGGACTTTTGTGTCAGGGTAATGAAAGCCAAAGACATACGTTTCTTAGGTGTATTTGACCAGGACCACCACCATCAGATGTTCATAAATTCCTAGCACACCACTGTGAATTACTGTTGCCATCTCCACTGACGCTAACTCAAGGAACTGTGGGTGAATTTAAGATGAAATAGGTTAAAATGACTAAAACAGGAGGAGGAGGGACTAAGGGATCTGTAGGCCGCCCTATAAATCTATCTTGAATAGAAAACCTGGTGAATCTAATTCTTCTCCGTTGCCATTTCACTACGTTTGGTGGAGCTGTCCATGACTGACATTAGGATGAGCCGGGCAAGAATCAGACCCTTGATAGTTTTGCTGCTGCTGTTGTGCGTCAAGCCTCTCTTCATTTGTAAGCAACCCAAGCGCTTTCATTAGGGCAGCAGCATGTATGCACCGTTGGCTATTATCCAGCCTGTAAAAAGGCTTTTTAGTTATGGAGTCCCATTGAAATGAAATGTCCGCTCAGTGAAACAGAGCTCTGCTCTTACAGATGTTGCACAGAATACAGAGACCCCAAAACACCTTTAATTTTTTGTGGAATGATTCCTCTTGTTCTTCTGATTGGCTCATTAACTGAGATGAATTATGGTTCTGGTTAACAGGATCGCTATTTAGTCTGAAAAGATGCCTGCAAACTATAGGACAGTGCTGTAGAATTTGTAAAAGAGCTGACCTATATTTTTCAGATACTGAGATGAAATATGCTGGCCTAATTGAAATAGTGGTCAGCCTTGCTGGCAGCCTCATACTTCTTAGATTGCAATAGGAATCTGCTAATACTGTTTAAGAATTCAAAGATGGCTGGTTATGGCTTTGTTCTGCCTACTAAGTCATTTTCCATACTTCCAAAATGCAAAATAGAGTGTTATAATTTTTTTAATTAATTTAGCAGTCAGATTGGAGATGAGAATATTCACAGCTGTTTCTCGGGGATATAACTCAGAGTAAGGGACCACTCCTGCAACATAATTGATGCATCTTGCTACATATGAATGCTATGCAATGCAGTTTGCAATTACCTGACAGCTATTCATTTGAGGTATGCTGGATAACAGTAGCTTTCTGATTTGGTGGCTGCATGCCCTAGATGAACTGCTACTAGCAAACAGTAAAGTCTTTAACATTTAGGACATGATGATGAGGAAGAGACATAGCTTATTTGGAAGGTGCTTTTAAGATTCTTCAGTAGTGGTTAAGTTCAAGCCAGGTGGGTTGAGAGTAACCACATAGGATCTTCTGTGTGTGATAATAACCAGGTTAAAATCAAGAATGAAACATCTGGCTTGTCCCATACCAGAGAATGGCTGCAGTGTACTTCACTGAAAACAATCTGAATTAAAAATATTGTGGTTACAGGATGTACCGGGATGAAGTATGTTGGCTTAATAAATTCAGGATTCATTCTCTGGTACTGCATGAACGTAAGGAAATAGCAAGTAATATAGGAGTATAATCTTATATCTTTTGATATTTTCTTTTTCAGTTTGATAGGGCAAATATACATTCTTGTGTCTCGTAATAAAATCTCCCACATAAATTTTGTGGTCTAAGAATTTCCGTTGCTTCAAAAATCACTGGCTGAAATTTTTTCCCTAATAATTGGAGCCAATAGAAGCTTGCTCCCTGTAGTTAAGTTTCTTTTTCTCTCTAATTGCAAGCACCAACAAAAAATTGTAGTAGGACACTGGCAGTAGAATAAATAGCTGACCTGATGGAGCATGTTTGGGCTGTAGCCAGGAATCTCATCAGCAGATAACTCTCTCCTTTGGGAAATGCTTCTTTCTCTTGGCTTTGTAGTCCTGTAGTAACGTATTTAAAAGTAAGAGATTTCATTTTTTCTTTCTGTATTTTAAACCAAGCCTTAATTTTTACAGTGCCTTCTCATCAAACTCCAACAAAGTGCAATAAGAAAGAGTGGTCTGGCAGATTACGAGTCTTTTGGGAATAGGAGAGAGTTTGCGAATTATGGTTCGGTTTTGCTTTTTCTTATATCAATATAAATCAAGTGTCATGAATTTATTAGGCTTAGATCACCCTGAGTGAGACTGATATCATAGCTCACTCTTGCAAAATGTTGTGTTATATCTAAGACACCATGTACGTAGGACGCGTGGTCTGGAATTCTGTGCTCTCGTAACCTCCACGGTGCAGGGATCCAAGCTCTGAACTGTTGCTCAGATGTAGTAGCAGCATATTAATTATCTGGATAATCAAAGCGAATGCCTACAGTTGCTGTTTGCTTTCATCTGCTGGTCGGGAGTAGAGGAAGTGCTAGCTAAATAAAAGCGGCCTTCAAACTGTTGGAGACTGATGTTGACCCCGCATTGAAGAAAGCTAACAGCTGTGCAAGGAACCAGAGGTTCTTCCAGTTTTACCGCCCTAGGGTTGTTATGGTGACTGGGGTAGAAGAAGGACTAATAGGGACTGGCAGAAGGTGAAGGAAATCTGTTTGAAGTGATCTAAATATAAAACAGTAGTAAGCTCGGTACACAATTTATGGACTAATGGTTTACATTTGTTGGCCAGTGAATTTGTCAGATGTTGAACTAATAGCACGTATTTCTTACTGATTCTTCTCATAGATTAAAGATATTTTGTGGATTAAATTTGGTGATATGTATTTTGTTGAATTTCAGTAGCCTAGATGAGTAACTTGCACAGCACAGGGCTGATTCTTGAGGTGAAAATAGAAGTGGTATTGCTGGGAATATGGCAGACATTGAAGTTGCATTTCCGATCTTGTAAAGACCAAAGCTCCTTTTCTGTCTTAAATTGTTATTTGGGTAATCGCATTCACTTGTCATAGTTTAACACTTTGGATTAAAAAAAGAAATCATGTCAGTAGATGTCAAAGGCTCCTAAATTTAAACCGGCAAACTGGCTTGCTTCTACTGAGGAATTCATTCAGATAGCTTGGGAGCTGTCATTTGGGAGGTGGCTTTATGTGACTGTTCCAACTGTACCCTTCCTGTGAAACAGGCAAGCTTTTATTAAGTCATTTGGTTTACAGGAAACTTTGAGTCCTGTAATCTCTCTCCTCAGAAAGAGGGGGGGGAAAAAAAAAGAATAAGTCTAAAAATGAGAAAAAAAATTCTACTAAGAAGTAAAAATGAAGTGAAATAAGTTTCTTCAGATGTTCAGAATAATGTTGCCCCTGATCTATTTCTTATATCAGTTTGTGTATAAATATTGTCTTTATCTTTCTTTAGGTGATCCTGATCCTTACCAAGTATTATCATACTGACATGGGAAAAGTGCTGGAGAGCTCTTTGTGGAGGTAGGTTCTCTACTTTTTCTTACGTCCCTGTTGTCTAAATGGATCTGTTTCTTTTCCCTTTTGAGACTGCTGCAGAGTTGAGCTGATGACTGATTGATGCTAATGTAGCAAGGTTAGCCAGATTCTCATCAGTTCTTACTCTTTTTTTTTTTCCTTAAATGAGCTGCAGCTGAATAAGAAAGAACTTGAAAGGAGATTTAATGGTTTATGCTGTACCACAAATAGTGGTAGAGCAGTAAGGTACCTTTGTGATCCCACCTTATAGGATGCTGTTTCTTTTCTCGTACATAGAAATTCTGCATTGAAAGTTACTTAAAGACTTTGAAATATTAACTGTATTGGGCTCTGCCTGTTGGGAGATTTTGCTGCTGTTGCACTCTATTTTGAGGTTAGTAAATAATCCTGATCTAGAAGGAGTTATGATTTTTCTGGATGAAATATAATACCAGTGCAGGTTGTATTGTGTCTTATGACAACTGGGAACATGTAGTAATTCAAATCAGATTTTGAAATTGTTTTTCATTTCCTCGGGATTCATGAATAAGGATATCGATATGCTATTGCCTGTATGTATACAAGTTGCATGCTCAGATGTCTATCAGCACAAAAACAGCTAATGTAAGCCTATGTTACGCTGGTTCAATTTCATGGATCAAGATCAATATTTTTGCATCACATTCTTTTTTCTCACAAAAATACACATTTTAAGCTTGTCAATTGGAGACATTTTGCTATAATTACTATCTGCTGTTGGTGTATTGAGATGTCGTGTTTTTCAAGGCAAATGGTTAACAGATACCTAGTTTGCAAAGATGTGTGTGCTTGAATGCATATAGAATTATGCATGTGAACCTATTTGAAATTATTTTAATGGCTTCAGTATTAAATGACAGTTTCCAAATCAGACACCTAAAATCTGATTGTCTTTTGATGTGTTCATTTTGTTCTGCTAGATAGGCTTCGGATGCTTTAATTTTTCTGTGTATCCATATACATCTTCCACCTCTTCCACTTTTGCTAGACCCAGTCAGTATGTACACTTCAAAAGGGAAAGTATTTCATGAATATCAATAAATGTACTGTTGCTCAGATGTTTACTATGCCAGTTTTGCTGGGTTATCTGCAGCAGAAGAAATACTGAAACATTCTGCCTCAGCATCTAAACAGTCAGTACAAGAGACTTATCTGAGTCTGTGTAAATTTGTTATGTAGCCCATAAGCTTCAGGTCTAGAAACAAATGGGTTATGTGATATCTTGTGGCCTAGATACTTGTGAACTCCATAATTTCCCAAAAGCTTGTAAGAGGATCCAGCCTTCCCCTGTATGTGCAAGAAATTACGCAGAGACAGCCCAAGAAAAGGAGTGGGTATGCGAAATGTCTGTGCCCGGGGCACGCTGCACAGCCAGCTGGGTGCTCGAGGTGGAGAAGGCTGCATTGTTTGGGTCTTGCTGGGTTTCTCGTAGCGACAGCGTATCTTTGCAGTACCTTGTGCTCGTGCTAGTGCTTGCTACAGCCTAGCCAAGTACAGCCCCCCTTGGAGCACAAGGGTATTTTCAAATAAAAAAGAAACATCTAGTCGTAAAAAGAGATTGGGCAGGAGAGAGAGTAACATCAAATGCGGAGTGCTTAGTGTTGGCTCAGGATTGGCCTTTAGGGCTATGACCGTTTGTAGTTATCCTTTAGGCTTACAGGATGGGAAAATAATTGCACTTTTGTTTCTGTTTGAAGTTTTGTCCAACATCTTGTGCAAAGAAGGCAACCAAATGGAAATCTGAATACTCCCATAACTGCGTAAGCACACATCACCTTCCTGTTATATACCCCAGCCTATACAACACATGCAATGTGTTACAAGTTTTGCTAACTATACTTCAGTTTAATCCCTCATAGAAGTCTTTTCAACTTATGCAGTCAGACCCTGCTCTTTCAAAATAAACAGAAAACAGGCTTCAGATAACGTTGCTTTCTTTTGAGAAGGTAAACACTTTAAACAAGGTCATTCAGACCTTGCAGACAGTTGGTATAAGTAACTGGTGTGAACTGTATTTGCATAAAATTGGTGCTCGTGCTTGCGCATAGGAGAATAAGGCCCTTTTACTTACAGGTAGTGAATTTACCAGATAGTTTGTTTATAAAATGAGGATGAAAAACCTGAAAAAAAGCGAGTGCTTAAGATGAGCACTTGGAGCAGGGGTTGTTCGTGCTCCATCCCTAGAT